ATGTCCAAGCGAGAATGAAGGTAATCCATGCAGTAGGATTGGCATTCATTGCTGCAAAATCTGGGATCTTGGTCACTGACTATAGAGGTGGGTCGTCCATGATGTGTAACCAGCCTATCAGCAAATGCCGCCTGAACGGCTAGAACGCTGACCTCAGCTGGTAAGGGGATGAACTCTGCATATTTGGAGAACCAATCCACACACACCATAACTTGACGCATACCACGAGGTGTGGTCCTACCCAGATCAGTAATAGACATTGACTGTGCAGGTGCTTCAGGGATGGGTAGTGGTTTGAATAGGCCAAGGGAAGGTCGACGAACAACCTTGTTCCTCTGGCATAACTCACAAGTTTCCACATAGTGCAACATGTCACTCATCTCCTTCTAGAAGAAGCGTTGCGACAGGGCCGCATACGATTTGAGGGCACCAAAATGACCACGAGCATCATGACACTTTGACATCAAAAGTGTTCTTAGCTTGCGGTCCTGAGGAATACATAGGCGTTCCTCACCTCTTTTGCAAGCATACAACAAATCTGAAAGCAGAGCATACGCTGGTTGAGAGGTGGGATCATCCTGAAGATTCCTCACTATGGGCCCAAGATTTGGGTCGTGGGGCAACAGACGGGCAATAGTCTGATGAGTCTTCTCTCCAAATGAGTGAGTAAAGGAGATCAAGAAGAGAGCGTCAGGCCTATGAGAAAGGGCGTTTGCCACATGATTGTAGCAACCCTTCTTGTGTTTCAGTTGAAAGTCAAACATGTCAATGAACTGAATATAGCGAGCAAGCTTGTCGTTTAGTTCTGCCTGGGACTTCATCCACCGAAGGGTGGGAGTGATCTGAAAAGATCTTGAAGAGCCTGCCCAAGAGGAGGTGCTTCCAATGCTTGAGCGTTGACACAAGAGCATAAAGCTCTTTCTCATAGGTAGAGTTCTGCAGCTTCGTAGTCTTGATCTTTTTGCTCATATACTCGACAGGCTGCGGACCATTCCCATCGTCCTGCTGAAGTACCGCCCCTGCACCATACTGACTAACATCAGTGGTGAGCACAAATGGCATGGTAGGATCAGGTAACTTCATAACAGGGGCACGAGACGTGTAGAACTCTCTTGACACTCTGATGTCCAAAGAAAGGAAGTGTCTTTCTTTGTGAGGTCAGTCAGGGGTGCTGCAATGGAGGAGTTCTTAATGAACTTCATGTAGTAGGACGCAAGACCCAAGAAAAATCGGATATCACGAATGTTAACAGGCTTCGGCCAGTCCTGAACAGCAACAACTTTTGTTGCCTCAGGAGCTAACCCCTCTCTTGAAATGACATAATCGAGATAGACCATAGAAGGAACTCACTTCTCCCTGTTTTGGAGTTCCCTCATCCCACGTCTCATCCAACTCAGCGTCCTCAAAAGTGAAGGACCCCGAAGATGCAACTCCAGAAAAAGAACCAGCGAGAGAATGTGAAGATTCACCTTCATCAGAAGGTGGATCAACACTGGTGGAAGGAGCTGTTGCTTCCACCTCTCTCTGCTCTAGTTTTTTGAACTAGAGTTGCCTGTAGATCTGCGAGGCATACTGGTATAATCCTTCAAAAACTGGTCCCCCTCGCATCTCAGGCAGGCACCACTGTCCTTCCTTTTCCTCCAAAACCCCGTCTGGATCCCGAGTGCATGCCAGGGGAAGGTGGAAGGATCAAGGGGGTCATCTGGCCAGTGGACGTCTTGTGGTAAAGGCACTCTCTGGGCACCAGGGGAAGAGGCACGTCCCTTACCTTTCCCCTTGCATCTAGTTGGTGCTTTCTGGGATGGGGCTTTACCCCTCGCCATGCCCATCAAAGCATCAGCCAGGGCAAGAACAACAGAATCTGCAGCGGATGGAGTAGTTGTCCCAGATGGAGGGGTCCCACCCTGGGATGCTGCATCACCATCAAAACTCGAAGCTGCAGTAAACAGGGCACCCTTCCTCCTTCTACGCCCCTTTGAGGAGGGTATCTTCCTTCCTTCAGAAGGTGTTTCCTGGACATCGAGTTTAGACTCCAAATCCAGGGTTGTTCTTCCAAAGGACCGTCAGTCCTTATGGCCCTGAGAGAATAGAGCAAGCTGGTATTGCTCAGGCGCTGCTCTCAAGAAATGAATGAGCAAATCCTGCTCACTCATTTCTAACCCAGGAGTCAAGTCTGACTCTCAAAGGTGGCGTAGAGTTTGGACAAGGAGCCATCAAATTTCTTCTGGCCCAGGCGCATAATTTTATCCGCTGCTTTCTTGGCCTGCTCCTTGTCTGCAAACCTATCCTTCAGAGCCTGCAGAAAACCAGCCACCCCCAGCCTCTGCGCCTAATCAGCCATCTCCATCCCCTGCTTGCTGGAGGTGGAGGTGCACCATTTCAGTGCAGTCCTCTCCAAGCGAGCCAGAATGGCACTCACCTTCACGTCCTCGTCACATTTGAACCCACTCAGGTAGGTTCGTTGTGCAGTGACCCAATCTGCAACGTCCACCTTAGGGTCCTCACCAGAGAACATGGGTGGAGGCGTCGGCTTGGGCCGCTGCATATCAAATGGACCTGAGGGCTGAGAAGGTGTTGTTGACTTGGGTGTAGCGGGAGGAGATGTAGGTCTGGATTAAGGGATTGCTGAGGTCTTGCTTGAGAGACCCTAGGAGATGTAGGAACAGTCAGGGTGGTTGGAATCTGTAGATGAACAAAAAGGCGATCAAGTTTGGAGGAGATGTCACTCAACTGCGTTGTATGTTCCGCCATGCTGTCCTCCAGACTGGTCATCGTGGCATCCCAGTTAGTAAAATAGGACTGACGAATATCATCCTGCAAAAGGACGAACTCAGCAATGTCCTTTTTAAAATAGGACTGATGAATATCATCCTGCAAAAGGCCTCCTAGAAGTCGTATCTTCTGTATTTTCCAAGAAATTCTACTGCACCAAGTCACTGCAGACATCAGGTGGATGAAGAATTTAAAGGCTTCTCACGGGACTTTCGAAGCTAAGGGGGAAGGTATGCGAGAAATTGACCCCCCAGCAGTGCTAGGAAAGGCCTTGCCTGCCGTAAGTGAAGGTGGGCCTGCCAATATGTGCCAAGGCCTGGGTACAGGCCAGTGTGATCACCCTAAAGGGGCCGTACATGTGCGGGGGAATGAGCCCTCATGGGGCCCTTAACAGACATGCACATGTTCTGGGCAGAGGCCCTCAGCAAGCCCTGTGCCCGCCCTAAGTGGAAGCGGGCCTGAATATTCACAAGAGGCCAAGATTTGACATTTTTCCGTATGTGGGTATCAGACAGTTGCAGCACACCAGTTGGTTACAGAGCAACGTGAGCCTCTCTAGGCTCTTTCCGGAAGTTGCAGCCTTGACGGGCAGTTGAGCCCAGGGCCCCGTACAGTTAAGCCCCGTACAGTTAAGGCCCTAGGCGTGTGCTTTCAGAGGCCGACATATCATACAACAGCCACGGACCAATTAGATTGCAACATTGTCAGCACACAGTGGCCGTGAGCCAATGAGATCACGGCGAACATGTGGAGGCATGTGGAGGCCCGTGGACGTGCCCAACTGTAAAGGGCCCAGGCCCGTAACTGCAACTGGGCCTGGGCGCAGGCATTGAGGCCCGACTGGAAGCTACTTGATGCTCGCCCGGACAGGCCCAGAGGCAGCAGAGGCTGAGCTCACTTTCCATATAGGAAAGTGAGCATCGCTGGGGAGGTCATTCGGGCCTAGGCGGGCAATGCAGCCACGCTGCTGCGTTGCAACTTCCTGATCTGCACGAAGCTGCCGGCTGGGTCGCGCGCACGGGCGCTGGGGTGTGAGGTGCACTGCTGGGCAGTGGGCGCACAGCAGCCATAACCGGGCTGCTGGGCGCATGTCCGGATGGTGATGGTGGTCTTTGGGTGTTGAGAATGCACACTGTGGCAAGTCAGGGGTGATGAGGGGAGAGACGAGATACATACCTGGTGCATGAGGGACGTCAGCTATAGTGTTGACATCATGTAGCTTGGTCTTCAAAGTTGAAGTGAGCCTGTTGCTTGAACGCTGGTGTAGTAGGATAGACGAGTAGTGTAGGCGGGACGCTGGGCGCCAGACAGAGTAGGACCGACATTGGATACGGTGTTGGTGTGGCCTGAGGGCTTTGGCATTTGCTCGTGAGTTCGTTGTATTGCTCTTATCTGGATGGAATCTCGGTGCATTTGCGCTCTCTGCTTGTACATGACTACTTGGACATCTGTGTGATTTCTCAACTTGGTTTTCTGTATATCGCTCTTGCTCATATTCCTTGCACCTGGGCCCGGTCAGCTCAAAGATAATATCTCAAGGCTGTTTCCCTTTCAAAAAAAAAGGAAAAAAAACTTGAAAAAAGAAGGAAGAGGAAATACTAAAACAGGAAGTGATGCAAAGGGGCTCTGAAAAAGAGTGGTGGTGTTGGAGAAGGGTACAAGCTACATAGCAAGGGTCAGAGGGAAAGCGTTGATCTTCCATGATTGTGGTGTCTACTACCATCCTCCCCCGAACATAATGCACCCTGATAATGAATATATACAAGCTATATTTCCTGCCAGTTACAGCCAAAAGGAAGGTGTGTTGTGTTCGGGGGAAGACGGTAGGAGCGATGGCTCCGATGAACAGGGAGGAAAAGAGAGGAAGGAAGAACTTGATGGAGATACAGGATGATAGATAGAGTGTCCAAGGGCTCGCAGACCATCAAAACTTGGCGGGATAGATCGCTGGGAGGAGTAGATCTCGTGTTGTGAGGTCGAGAGTCAAATTCATTAGAAAAATGACTTTTGGGAGTGAATAAGATGTATCCTCCCATAGATCTTGTATGGACCGGATATATGTGTGTGTGTGTGTGTGTGTGTGTGTGTGTGTGTGTGTGTGTGTGTGTGTGTGGCGAGAGAGAGAGAGAGAGAGAGCTGGTGGTGTGATCTTTCATTAATGATTGGTCTGTTTGGTCGCACTCTCATTGGGAGGTTTGGTGTTTGAACTGATTGTGGGCACACTTCAGAACTTGACAGAAAATGCATGTGGAGAAGTGGAAGCAGCACCAGGAGCAGCAGCAGCCTCCATGTCTGCTGGACCTCGATCTGATGATGACATCTTTCCTGAGAAGATGAAGGAAGAGGATGAGGGGAGGTTGTCTTGGCAGCAACCATCCGATCGAGCGTCTGTGGCTGCCTCTGATGGAAAGAATACAAATTGTTCCGATGGTGTTGATAAGAACAAGGCTTGCACGGTGAAATCAGAGGATGGTAATCAAAGAGTGGAATTGGCAGAGGGGCCGGCGAATGATGCTGGTAATGGGCCAACCCCTGGAACTTGTAGCCACCAAGGTGTGGTGGGACCAGAGCAGATACAAAACTCAATCCTGGGAGAAACCGCACAACAGATGGTGGAAGATGAGGCACTTGCACGATGGTATTGGGAAGAAGAGCAGGCAAATGCAAGGACACGGGAAGAAGAGGAAGAACAGAGCCAAGCCCTTGCAGAACGATTGCAGGTCGGTCTCTGGCCCCTCTCTTGTTTGAGCTTCTGGAACCGTCATTTCATCATCGTCAAGGTCAACGAAATGTCCTAATGAGATAATCGAATTGGCATCTTCTCCATCCATTATTGTGGATTGTGATGGCTGCAATTTGATGCTGATGGTTCTGGAGAGTGATCTGCAGATTCTGCACCCAAGCGCAGCCGTTTTTATTTTTTCAATTTGAAAAAACTGTGCCTGTGACTGCTGCACAGTTCAGAATTCGCAGAAATAACAGCCCACTGCAAGATTGGGTCGTGAGCAGTTCGAAACAGCAAGAAGAACAGTAAACTATGCGTTCGACGGCCTACCGGTTCATAATTGGCAAAAACGGGAGGTGGCCTGGGCTAGTGGTACCCTTTATCCCGTGGCCTGACCTGGGAGCAGGTACTGGTAGCAGGCCCTCCCGTTTTTTTTTGTTTTTCCCGTTTTTGGCTTCTGGCGGGACTCGGTTTGGGCGGGTAGCCGTGGACTGCGTTTTCACATGGTGGCCACCGTTTTCGAAATTGTGCGGCAAAGGTCGTTCTTTCGGGGGCCGTGCTCCCACCTTGCACACACACACACACACACACACACACACACACACACACACAGAGAGAGAGAGAGAGAGAGAGAGAGAGAGAGAGAGAGAGAGAGAGAGAGA